ATCGAGGGTACGGGGGGAAACAAAGAGCGACATACAGAGGCCATGAACATGCCGAAAAGACCACCCATGCCGAATCCCATGACTCCTGACATGATGGATTTGCCGTAGCATGATTCCATAGCGGATTGAACCTGTCGAGGTTAGCGGAGAGGTCGCAAGGAGTCTGGGGTGAGAGACTGCGTACGGCTTTGACGCCCGGGTCTTGAGGGCCAAAACCGGGCGTGGGTGCGCCGGCGCCAGATGAGCCTCCTGGGAAATCCATGGTGATGTATGACAAGTATTCACTCTGCCGCAAACAAGCCCGATGTGGTGGATTCGTAGCGGCTCCTAGTCGCAAGGATGCAGAAGAAATATTTCTGCCTGTTCCTACCGCCTTCGGCGATGGATCGGCCCCGCCGACCGAGATGCGGCGCTACATATCGCCTGCGAAGCTATACAGAAACAGCAGGGCGGCAACACCACAGCTCATAATCGTGCCCGCCCCACTTTAGATGGTTCAGCTAGCAAAGCCCTCACTGGTGGGGGCGGGCACGATTAGTAGCCCCCTTGACGAAATTTATTTGGCAGGTATAAATTGCTATACGACTGCGCCCAACCGCTGCTACTCCATTTTCCAAGTACGACCACCAGAAATATAACCAAGGTAGGGTCTGACGAACGCAGCATTAGAATCAACGCTTTGCTAGCCAAGGTATTAATCGTTGCTGTCGAAATATAAAAATGAGTTTCAAATTCATTGAAGGATAGCTGATTTTGATCTGCGCACTGGTAATAACATTATGATTTGTCGACCTTTTTTATGCCGTCACCTAGTAGTATGACCTCGATCGTAACACCCAACTCACTCCACCCCTAACTGTTAGCCTAAATCCTGAATCCTGATCTGGCGGCCAAAATCGCCCATGACGTATAATCTCTTGAATGGCAAATAAATGCTCATGGTCACATCTGAAACCGTACTCCAATGTAAACCTGTTCTTGTATTGCCCGATATCAGATATCTAGGCTTCAAGCATCCGCATACAAGGAGCCCACTATCCTCGTCCCCGGGGCCGCGAATCCGGCAACGGTCTCCTTGCCCGGCGTCGTATCTCTTCTCGGCGTTCCTTTGCCTCGCGTTGTTGTTCGTCTGCTCAGCGTTGCATATTTTAGTCCTATACGTTTATTTTTTTTTTGTCTTTTTTTTTTCCAACCTACCTGAAAACTCCCCCAGAACTTTTTCGGCTAATTCTTCCTCGCCGTATGACCCGTTATATTGCGCCTTCACATCATGCCAATGGCATGCTATATTCCACATTAGCAGGCATAACATATAATAGGACCAGCAATACATACTTATGCAACGTTCAGTGTAAGTTCGGTATTCATTCCCAAACTCTTGTATCATTTCTTCCAAACATCGTTCCCAAGTCATTACCCTCTGAGGAGGGCCAGAGCCACGATACATCATCAGTATGAGCACCGCCCTGAAGAAGAATTATTCTTCAAATGCCCAGGGTCTCTGGAGGCCCATGTTGTGGAGAAATTTGGATGAAGTAGCTAATAATCTCAGGGATCGGGAACATCAACGCCGGTCTTATGGTTGCGACAACAGAGACATGGGAAGGAAGATGGGCCGTCCACGAGGGTTATATACTCCTAGCCAAAAACGAACACGATGGCAAATTCGATCGCACAATGATTGAACAATCCAGGTCTCGCTTAGGTGTCATTGCATTGGTTTGGGAGAGAACCTGTCTTGCGAAGACGATGCCCAAAAAGAACCCTGGAGCCAAGTTGAACATCCAACGTCCGAATCTTATTCACTTTGAACATGAGTTAAACGTTCAACTTTAGAGTCCACTGACCCCGCCGTGAGGTCGTGGAGGCTGAAGACCTCTATAATCAGCAAGGAACACGGCAAGGTTGCGTTCCATTCTGGAAAACTGTGCAGTGGAAACATTAGCAAGCTTTGTGAAAGCAGACACAAGTAGGGACACCTACAATGCTCTTTTGTTGCATAGGCACTACGCCATCCTTTATCCAGAAGCCCCAGCTACCCATCATATTCGCCAGCATCATGTCTGTTGTCAATCTATCTCCAACGACGGCAATATGCGACGGGTCCGTCACCCCGGTTTCTGGGTGCTGCCTAAAGTATTCCAGGATCTCGGATCCGCATCCCGGCTTCTTCACAGCGTGGGGTAGTACGTGAACGCCGGTGCCCCTTTCAACCTCGGCGGCTTGCTTCAGGTCTTTGTCCCAACTGGTGGCGCCGGAGGTGTTGGATACCACCAAAAGCTGGCGGCCTGGATATGCCTCTTTGAGGGAGTCAAAGCGCTTCTGTGATGGTTTAAACAATGGCACGACAGCTTGGCAATGTTGGGTGAGTTACCTTGTATGGTTCATAGACCTCCTTGGCATCTGGATAAGCAAAGCAGTCATCTTTGTCGAGAACTACAGCTCTGATATCGGACTTGTAGCCATTGCTTCTCAATCCCTTGTCTAGAGGGATCGGCAGATCGTTGAATGTTGAAACGGTGTGGTGTGGCAGGCATATGCTAGGCTTGAATAGCAGCCGTGTGGCGTTGAGTGAAGCTGAAAGATTCAGGTTCATCCCGGCGGCAACTTTGAGCAAATGACCGAGCCTGAGCAGGCTGTGAACGCGACACAGTCCCTGTTGGTATTTTTTTGAGAGGTGGAAAGCTGCATCCAAGTGAGGTGGCTCACTCAGGACATTGAATGCAGGGGGGATTCCATGCATGTGGACCGATGTGGTGGCCCCACCACAGCAGAGTACATACTGAACGGCACATGCAGGGGAGCTTCACTGGGCCAAAGCTAATTAAGCTTGACGCGTTCTAGATCGGCTTTGCGACGATAGGTCCCGAGTCCCGAGCTATCGCATCTGCATCCATGTTCGCGCCTCGCTGGAGCAGACGTCGTCGTCATGCCTAGGAGTCAATCCGTGGCCGAGGATTCTCCTCTAGGAAGCGAGAAACATTCCATACGAAAGCGATCTGTCAGCACTATGGACCTCGACGGGAAGGCTACACCTTCGAAACGAGGACGAGTCTCGACCCAGGAAATTCTCAACGTCAAGTCATCATCTGTAGACGACAGCGAAACAGAAGATTATGACGAGGAAACTCAAGTCGGCGCCACAGATAAAGCCTCCCCGTCAATAGATGTCGCCGAGGTTCCCAAGGCGACTCCGAAACGCAGAGGACGCCCCCCCAAGTCACAATCGCAAGCCAGCACACCGTCCAAGACACCCGCCAAGTCAATCTTTGCAACGCCCGTGAAGAATCGTGAAACTGAATCGGCAACACCTGGAAGACAAGCGGCTGATCGATCAGCACGAAAGAAGAGTGCCAGGGCCCTCATAGAGAACGTTTTTGGTGATGACGATGACGATGACGAAGAGGACGACGACGAAGTTCTCGTGCGAGAGATATATGAAGACAGCGACGCTGAGGACCCTGGTGACCACGCCGATTTTTTGACTGGTGGATTGAACGACGACAATTCAGGAAATGTCACGCCGTCAAAAACCCGAAGGACCAGACGCAAGAGAGTAAAGTCTCCCACACCACCACGAGATCTACCCCCCCACGAGCTCTACTTTGTACATAATAAACCCGGACGGCCAAAAACATCCGATAATACATTGGGATCACTCTCACTACTCTCACACGACGAATACTTCAACGTGCTGCACCAACACAAGGACCGTCACGCCGACGACATCAAGTATCTGGAAAACCTTCATGTCGAATCCTTCCCGCAGTGGGCATTCGAACTCTCCCAAGGCTATAGCATATGCCTATACGGATTCGGATCGAAAAGAGCACTGCTACAAAAACTCGCCAAATACTTGCACGCTAATCACCGCGGCAAAAAAGCTCGACAAATCGTCATCGTCAACGGCTACGCGCACACAACCACCATGCGAGAAGTCCTAACATGCATAGGCTCAGCCATCGACCCTTCACAAAAGATACCCACTTCTACACCAGCCGCCACAGTCCAAATCATTTCATCCCAGTTATCCAACACCAATCTCATACTCACCGTCTTGGTCAACTCCATCGACGCAGCGCCCCTCCGCAAACCAGGCACACAAGCCATCCTATCCCAGCTGGCCGCCCATCCCCAAATCAATCTCGTTTGTTCCGCAGACACGCCCGACTTCTCTCTTCTCTGGGACATTGGCGTCCGCTCCGCATTCAACTTTGTCTTCCACGACTGCACCACCTTTGCGCCATTCACGGTAGAACTAGACGTCATTGACGAGGTTCACGAACTCCTAGGTCGCAAGGCCCGTCGCGTCAACGGCAGAGAAGGCGTGGCATTCGTGTTGAAGAGCTTGCCGGAGAATGCGAAGAACCTGTTTCAACTACTCGTTGGCGAGGTGCTTATTGCGATGGAGGAGGAGGGGAATATGGTGGACGAAGCAGCGGGCGTGGAGTATAGAATGGTGTATAATAAGGCGGTGGAGGAGTTTATTTGCAGTTCGGAAATGGCATTCCGGACGTTGTTGAAAGAGTGGGTTGTTTCCTTGGTCCTCATCTGGATTTGTTTGTGGCTGCTAATGGGTTATAGATTCCATGACCATCAAATGATTACGAGTCGGAAGGATGCGCTGGGCACGGAACTGCTAAGTGTACCCTTTCAAAAGGATGAGCTTGAGGCAATCTTGGAGGATTTGATGTCATGATGGGACGTATTGCAGTTGCATGTCATGAAACCTACAACAGGCGATAAAATTCAAATTACATCAACTGGATGTCATTTACAATGTTGAACGTGAGTCGTGTCATCGTCAATTATATGTACTATCCCCATCACGAGGACATGGCCATCTAGCTAAGTCTATGATGTATTCTTTTCTTTTTCAATGCTTTCATATGCCAAGACTTTTTACGCATGTCCACAGAACAACCGGCACAATCACATTATCATTACCCCCCGTCAAAACCGCCTCAGTGAGACTCCCCATCGTCGCACAGATACCCGCATTCCTCACACTGACATACCACCCAACCGGTTCGTCTGTCATCGGCCATCCTCCAACACGTAGCCACACCCCTGCTGCCGCTAGACCTGCAAACACGGCAACGGCGAAAGCAAGGCTCCCTTCGAGACTCTTTCCCCCACCCCAGAGCCACTTACGGTGTCCATAACGACGACCAATAAGTGAAGCTGCGGCATCACCGAGACCAACGCATACAACACCGGATACCATGCTGACATCTCGGCTTGGTACTTCCCAGCCTGATAAGCAGCCTGATCCCGTGCGGGAGAGTGAAGCCAGCGCCAGCCAAAGGGGGATTGCGCAACCGATGAGGAGGAAGATGTGAGAGATAACAACGGGGCCACGGAAGTCTCTGCCGTCGACGTAAGGTGCCAGAAATGAAGCAATGGGTTTGGATAGCGGCGGAAGTTGACTGGCGCGGAGGAGATCGAGGATCAAGAATATGGCGAGGATAATGGATAATGCGAGACCAGCATATGCTGGGTCGACGTATACGGCTGGGAGAAACATCCCCACCATCATAAAATGAAACACCTTGCGCCTGGTATCGACTTCGTAGGTCTCCTTGAGTTTGAATACAATAACTAGGCCAAAGACGAGAATGGTAAGCCAATAGGCGCTCAGGATGAGGCGAGTATTGGCCTCGCCAAAAGCATCATGACGAAGATGTTGGACCCAACCGGAATGACATTCTTTGGCCCCGGAGATCGCTGGGAGGCAGACCCATCGCTCAAGATTAGCACTAACAACTTGGAATCTGAACCAGGGTAAATTTCCAAACATGTACCCCAGAGCCCAGCCTATTGGTTCGTACCCATTCAGCGCAAACTGCTCGACATAGGTTCGCACGCCGACTAATATGATTCCGATAATGGCTGTGTACACATAGGCTGCATAAGCCCATTTACGTACGAGAGCTTGCCCTTGTGTCAGTTTGATATAGGGCCGAAGTGAAAGCGATATAGCCCGCTTTCGTCTCCCAGAAGGAGTATGTGCAGCGCTCTTCCGTAACTTATCAGGATGTGGCATGGTATGTCGTCGTGAGATGCCGCCGCTGATGTCGTTAGATGAGGTGACGCCAGAAGTGCCAACAGATTGTGCTGTGTTCCTGATATCGAGATTGGGTCCAAGGGTTTGGACTCGTAGTGGGCCTCGGAAAATTGGAATATCATCCTCCTCATCGGCCGATGATGTCGTCTCGGAGGGGCTATCTTCGCATACAGACCTTACCATATCATTTTTAATCCGGTGCCAAGACAAGAGCCTGCGAAACTCTTTCCAGAGCCGATGCTTTTGTGAACTTGACAGTCGTCTAAATCGCCATTTGGGCACTCGCGCCAGCGCAATGCCCCATCTAATGACAGGTCCGCAAAATACAAGCACAGCGAGACCGCCGCCCCATAAAAGTCCCTTGAGAATCTTCGCCTGAGGTGATGCAGACAAAATAAGCACATTGATTAATGCGATAGATAGTAGCTGAAGTTCGGCGGTCAAGAGGCTAGTTGTTGTTAGGTAGTGCAAGACAATGCACAGCGTCTGGTGAACAGGATATAATAAGACAAGTGCTTCTCCAGACAAGAATGCGTATGTTGGGTCAAATCTGGATGAATCCAATGCAGGTCCCCAGACCAGAGGCAGGCATGACAATGCCCAATGAAGGGTGTCGTATGATGTGTCAACGTCAAGCTTCGGTATCAGGGCCTGTGGTAAGGAGCTGATGCTTAAGATCATACTAGGTAAAATTGTCCCCGGATTGTTTCGAGCAACCAGTAAACAAACAAAGGTGGTTATTGCAGGAGGGTATAGTAAGGGGGCAGGATCAAAATTGGTTGGTATTCGGAGTGGGATCCATTTCGATTGTCGCCTTGTTCGAATGCCCCATGCCAGAACCCTTAAGGGATATAAACCCAACAAGGTGAGGTACAATAGACTCAATAATTCAAAATCTGTGGGTTGTTAATCAAAATCGCCAATATAGGAAGCGTACATGCGTACCTTTTCTCCAGACGCGAAATAATGGCGAGACGTGGCTACTCGTCATAACCATGAGTCCCAGCAATGCAACAATGCTCACCTCAGTAAGCCTTCGCACCAGAGCCCTATTTCGTCGCAAAACGTCGAGCCAGCGCTTCTTACGCTGTCCCACCTTCGGACGTAATTTCTGCGCTATGGCCTGGATATTGTCGTCATCCAGGGCAGCCGGGGACGGTGCAGGTGTCGCAAAACCTGATGTGGGCTCGTCATAGTCTCTTAGTCCTTTGTGCAGCTTGGACTTTGGTGCCGGAAGACCCTTGAGGAAGTGTTCGTCATCGGCTTCGGTGCCGCTGTCACTTCCAGGCGAAGATTCTTTCAAGAAGGCCAGAAGACTCGTCGGCGATGGGCGTGTCCCGTCGTTACCACCACCACGAGACACATCGTGCGTTGCAAAGCGCTCCGATGGATGCGGCAGCTCCGAGCTCTGGTGGTGATATGGATGGGGAGAGCGGTTCAGTGCGCGCAGCGCGTCATGCTGCTCTGGATCAAAAGGCGCCAGCGAAGCCGAGTTGAAGTTCTGTGACATTTGACAAGGTCGGCAAATCGAGTCGCTCGAGGGAAATCATTGATCGCGGCTGGAGAGCTGACCCAACAATTAGGGTTTCGAGCGACAGACGACCTGCCTATGCAGGTAGCTAGGGATGATACGAATCAAGGCCGAGGATGATGGGGCTCAACAAGAAACAGTCTCCTTCATCGGGGTCGCTTCAGATTGTCGAAGGCCAAACAACATGGGACGAGATTTAAATGTTGTTTTGGTGAAGCTGGGTTGGGGGAATAGAGCATTGCAGTCACATGCAATCTGCCAAGCTGTGCGCTTTCGTACCTGGGCACTCCATAAATGAGATGGCTCGACGTGGAAGTGTGGAACTTTGGGACTTGAGGAACTGCGGTCAGTCAGTCTTGACAGACCATGCCCCTCACTCGCTGAGCATCACGTGAGAGCGACCGACAAATAATACCGGAAGTAGTGCAGCAGATTATGTAAATATTTAAACAATCTCGGATTGCACCAACATTGGTTTATTTGTCTGTATTCATGCAAAGACATGATAGATACAGAGTAACCCTTGGCACCACCACATTGTATCGAGGGTACAAGGTCTAGGGTAGCCTGGCTGTCTCGAGTTGGTCACACCAGATTCAGAGTCTGCGTGTCGTAGCAGTAATATGATCGCTGCCTTATTGTGGTAGGTACGTCAGTATGTGCCGCTTCGATAGAAATAACGCATCATTGATGCACAAATTCCAAACCAGCGGAAGACTTACGAGGTCACTGTACAGAACAGCATCCACGAGCACCCGCCCAGGTGGTCAAGTGGGTTGGTATCTGCTATGTGCCTTGGTGGGTAGTTACATCACAACCAGGAAGGACCCGGGATCGCACCTTCCCAACTTCTTTTGAAGCCTGCTTTAAAGACACTTTACACTTCATTAAAAAAAGACCCAAAGTTTCTTCTCTTGTCTGTCATACCTACCTAGGTAGGTAGTTTGGAACCTCTCGCGCTATGAAGTAGGGTAAGATTTCCATCAAATTGCCTGGTTAAGGCTTCATATCACAAGACGCCCCCCGAGGGGGAGTTCCTTGAAAGCCACATCAGACGCCACTTTTGCGCGGCAGTACTCCGTATCTAAAATAAGATTCTGGCACCTCCCTCGCATCGCCCAGCCATCCATCGCCTTCTGAAGCAGTCATTAGTGACTGGTCTGTTCGCTCCCACGCAGAATCATGCTAACTAACCGTCCTGACTATAGACAGACTTCGCAGGAGGTCCCGGCTTCCGATGTTCTAGGCTGACGCGTTGCAGAAATTCTTTCTCCTCACGCGTGGGTACGAGCGGGAGGCGGCCAACCTCCACCTCAAAGAACCCGCCACTCCGGCTCCCGATTCAGCACATTTGTACGGAGTAGTACTAGTAATATGTACATAGATGCCGTTACTCAGCTTTAGGCCTGCAGGATGGATCGAGGCATACGGAGTTCACCCTCGTCAATTCCCCAGCCTCCCTATACGTACGGATTTTGCAGTGGAAACTATTACTCCGTACCTCGCTTAGGAGATATCGGGTTGGTGAGAAGTACGAGAAATACAGGATGAACAAATACCCATCAGAACGAGAGGCTAAAAAGGGTAAATCGTATGCGAGACCTCAAGTCACTGATACTCGTATACTAGGGATATTCCACAAGTCGAAGCATCCGTTGCTAGGTGAACTCAGTCAATGGCACACATCAAACTGGAGGATAAATATGGAGGGCACGAGATCTGACCGCAAACGGTCAGAATATGCCTCTGATGGGATATCAGCTTTGGTAGTTCTGTTTTACGAGCAAGTAAGCCCTCTCTTGTGGGAACCAACCAACTTATTGACAGGTCTCACAATCAAGGCGGGCTCGGAAGGGAATCCGGTGGGGGAACCAGTCGTTTACTACACTCCAACACCATCGCTGGAGGCTGAATGCCGGTATTTGCCCTTTTTGACAAGGGAGTAGGCGCATATTACGGCAATACGAATACTCTTATCGAGATGACCATTTGCATAGATACCACACCTTGGCAGCCGGAGACCTGGTGCGAGTACTCCCGGTAGTATGTGGACCAAAAGTCTTTTGTATGACCAGATATCATTGTGACTAGTTCAGCAGGGAGCGACTACAAGGAAAAGGAGACAAACGAGAGGAATCAAAAGTGTTGCATTCGTTGGTGCGAGTTTTCCCATAAACAGCAGATCAAGACCGCGTCTAATGTCGGCGACGCTCGGGGGTGAAACAAGACCAGACAATTGATGCATTTTGGTGCTCAGGGCGGGGAGTGCTGGATCAACTAAGCCATTGGGTGAAGACGGAGGCGGCAGTGCAGCCAAACACTCAGACACCGACAAGCTGTTTTGGCTTTCTTAGCCGGTTCGTCATGGTTGACTGTTCGTATCTGCGTATCACCAGTGCGGGACACAATACGAGTTTCGGCCCCCGTTTGCAAGGCGAGAGGCCCAGCCTGGCCTGTTGCTGAGAAGTCTTCTCCGAAGCATGCATGGGTGCAAGCCCAGCCATATGCTTGGCGGTGATGTCACTGGGAAGCCTGGAGGACAGAAGTGGCCAATCTCGACATCAAGTTCAGTCCATTGCTGCGAAAGAACGACTTCAAATGTTGTCGATACCACGATGGTTGTCTGCCGACTGCTGATGGATGACAAAACCACGTCTCGTCCGACATGGAAGAAGCTGTGGTGAAGCCAACATTACCACTGGAGGCCAGCCAAGATTTCCAGCCCTCGCAATTTTGAGGCTTCCAAAAAGCAGCACCCATGCACGAGAGGGGACCTGAAGGACCACCCAGGGCAAGCTTCGTGTGCCCCGTCCAACGAGCCATGCGAACGGCGTCTGCACCATTGGGTGGCGTCTTGCCCGAACGCTGCCCCTGTCCGTAGGACCTGTGGACCTGAATGTGCGATCCGCCAGCCAAGCCAATTGCTATCTCGAGTGGAGGCAAAGAAAGAACAAGGGCACAGCCGCTAGCGCATGAGCCGTGCCAGCACAATCCAAGCTACGTATCAATTGACATATCCCTGCTATGGGCTGCTGAGCCGCGCCAGCACGATGGACTAGACTCGAGAGGAGAGCCTGTCCCGAGTGCGTATCTGCACCGTCCACTCCGGGGTGGCGGGCGTGCAGGGGCGTGCAGCACTGTGACTGTGTGTCAGAGTTAGGCGCGGATGGCCGGCCAAGTCGTTGGGAAGACGACGATGCCGAACCATATTCAGCTGCCATGTGTAGTTTATTTATCCAGGATTTCCTGCTATAGTCCCTGACCACCAACCATCATCTCTCGTGCCTCGTGCTCTCAACTGCCCGCTGTGGGAAACTTCCGTTTTGGCTTAGGGCCTTTTACTCTATCGGCGCCGTGTTAGGCCGAGTATTCATCCGTTTTGTATGACTAGTCTGGACTATCACTGACTGGAACAAGTCCGAACGACAACACGCAACTTGCACACCCTCCCCTCCATCTCGGTCTGCCGTGGCGGGAGCTGGCTTCGACATCCCGTTGCCTCTTGATCATTCTTTCAATATTATCACGGCCGCACTGCCCCCAAAGGCCGAAAGGCTGATGTCGCTCTGATCTCCTGTGTTCCACCGGGAATTCATCACACGCCGTACAATAATTCAACTCTCATACTGACAAGCTCCACTGGATGTGTTCTGCATGAAGCGCATGTAGGCCATTCTGCCTCCACTCTGCCAGATCACTATTTCGTCATTCTTACTTGCTGGTCTTGGACCACGGGAGACTGGAGACTGGAGCGGAAACGGATGCAAGATACTACAAACTCGACGCGGGTTTGGCTCGATATTTCTGCTCCGCTTGAGAAAAAGCCCAGATTGCATAATCATCACATCACATCGACACAAATACTCTCCACTGCCTCTCTTGCTGTCTGGCGGCTGGATCACACTGGCTTGCTTCCTTTTGAGTTCCTCTCTCTACCCGAGTAGCATTAGCTCTGCATACAGTGGCGAGGTCAGCCGAACTGCTTGTTTCATCGGTCCTCGTCGACAAGTATACACCGGATTCCTCAGCCTTCAAAGAATTTTCGGGGCGGTCCCAGTTTACGATTTCACACCCCATCAGATCTCCGCTTATATTTCTACCACCGGATACCAGGAGGGGTGTAAACATAGCTCCGTTGTTGTACATTGAACGCCGCCTCCCCCATCCAATCACTCTACTTGGCACTATTCTTTTTACTCTTGTTGGTTTCAAAGGAAGTGTGCGTTGCTTTTTACGGAAGCCGGGTGTACCTTGCTGTCTCTGGAACTCTATTTCTTCTCCAGATGGTACATGTAGTGCATCGACTACATAACATCCTTTAGTCCCAAATCTTTTTCTCCCAATGGCTCCTATGCGTTTGAAAGAATATGGCGACGCCCAACTAGAGACAGGACTACTGAGGACACACGAACAGGAGAAGATTCCATTCATCCCAACTGGACTCGAACAGTCTCGGACCGGACCAACATATTGTCAACCGGAACCCAACGAGTCCCGAAAGATGTCCTCACATAGGCGGATGGTTATCATCGTGATGCTGAGCGTGCTCCTTGGATTTGGGGTAGCTCTGGCTAAAGACCCCTCCTTTCCTTCATCTTGTATGGGATGGACCCGTGCCAACGAGAATATTCACACGAAAGCCGCTCGTTCCTTCCTGGAAAAGCGTGCTGATGCTTCTGTCACCAATGCGACTACACCTGGAGCACCGACGGAGAAGAGCGAATCTGGCACTGGACAAGAACAGCCGACGACACCCACCACATCTGCAACCCCAATTTCTTCTAGCCGTAAGTACAGTTCTTTCGACACATGAGTAAGGGGGATATTTCAGACTAATAACGGGAATTTTAGACGAATCTACGACACCCGCCCCTTCGTCGACCATTAGTCACTCCTCCATCCCGTCTCCTACCAGCACTCCCGATACATCAACTCCTTCTCCATCCATAACATCACCGGCCAGTCCGACAAGCTCTACTTTCCCGAGTCCAACTCCCGCAAGCACTTCAACTACCTCCCAAGCGCCTGAATCCACTCCCTCCGGTACGTCCTCCACGAGACATGAGACTGTCTCCGAATCTTCTTCCTCTAGTGCAACTCCAGTGTCCTCTTCCAGTAGGTTGCCGAAAGATGATCTCTCCTCTTTCTCTTCCTCTTTCTCTTCCACCAGCTCGTCCATAGCATTATCCACCGTGTCGTCCAGCAGGTTTACCGGTCATTCTTCCAGTGGGTTATGCTACCAGCACTGTCCTTTAGTCCCCAATCTCGTCCACCAGGTCAAATTTACAAAGCCCCCACTCCCCTAATCACGCCTCACATTTGTATATCAGTTACCGAAAATTGAGTGAATAGTTCCAGTGTCTAACTGTCGGTGCCTCCAGCTCCACGGGAGACTCCCAAGTCTTCAGTGCCTGCTATATCTACGGGTGGGTGTCCATGCAAATAGCCCATGATTTTTTTAGCCATCCACAAATCACCACATCTTTCAACGCTCGCAGACCAGGATACCTACTTTTTGATTTGATTCACTTGCGTTGAGTTGCTGTAAAGTTGCTGACCGTTTGATCAGAAGCATCATCTTCGGAAACTGCCTCTACTTCGAGCAAGATCCAGAAGACTATCACGACTGGCCGAGTCGCCACAACCAGCCCTGTACGACAAACCTATACTACTACCTTACCCGACGGTGGTGCTCTCACCGTAACATCTACTTCTTGGGTGGCCATTGTGCCTACGGATAAGTCTACTTCCAACGGCGGGCCCCAGTTGCAGAATCATGCGCCCAAAGCTCATGGTCATTTCACCCCCGTCATTGCTGCTGGGGCGCTCGCAGTTGGCATGTTACTGATTTAAACATTTGTTTTTTTTCCACATCTGTTTACTGATCGTATTTTGAATTGTGCGAATGATTTATTACAGCATGGCGATATGCATTGCGTCGGTGGATTAGGTCTTTATGATTTAACGACTCTCCTTAATTGTTTGATTGAAAAAAAATTAGACCATAGGCATGGCATTGCCTCGTTATATAGATTGCAAAAGGAGGAGTAGAATGGCCAATGAGATGAATTTCAAGGATGCGACTGATTGTGACAACTAATGGTACAAGGCATATTAGGTCATGGTGTCGCGAGTATACAGATTATTAGAAAAAGGGCATCTTTTGGAATCCTCTCACATGGACAAATGAACGCCAGTATTATCAATATTGTGTTTATTTTGACAGTTCTAATCGTGGGTATATGCAAAGCGCCGCAACTCCATGACCCATTTTCGTAGCCCGTTCCTTTCCAAAATCACCCACCACACACGGCCTTAACCGGGTCCTATCTTGGGCATGTCGTGATGTTCACTAAGTTTTGATAGGTAAGTGTTGAGTTCCTCGACCCGTTCCTTGTGTGTTTTCAGTAATTCTGGTCGAGAACTCGACGACTCAGCCATCTTCTGCAGCTGTACCGAAGTTAGCGACTGCCTTTGTCGTTGTTTGGCCCTTATGTACATACCCTCTTCTTTCTGACCTCGTCATATTTCCTCTCGGATTCAGTCTTTCGTGCTACTGCGCCATCGTCGTCGCGCTGATGGTCCTTGCTGTCACGGTGATCCGGTTGCTTGTCGGCTGCGGGAGCATCGTCACTCTTGGCTAATGCGCCATCGCCCGCGGACAAATTCCTTTCCAAATCGGTCTTGCCCTTCTTCTTCTTCTTTTTCTGAACCTTGGCGCCCTTGAGCTTGAGGGCGCCTCCCCCAACAGCGGTGTAGTCGCCAGAGGGCATGGTGATGTCGTTGCAATGTAGCACAGCCGCCCACGGATGTCTTGGACTGAAGTCCCTCGGATGGAGGGACAGACGGCTCGGTGCTTAGTCACCACAGACAAAGACAGGGGGCCAAGGCTTTTCAATGCCGAAACTCCATCTTGGCGGCAGCCAATGAAAGCATCATTTCTCCATCATGTTTCAATGCCTTTGCTCGAGCCGCTACTAGCTTCTGTGGGCTCTTTGTCTCCTATTGACAGAACCAAAGCGCCTCCCCTTACACTCTTTGCTATTCACGATAAGCGCATTAGACGAAGAGCATCCATACGGTTTCAGTTCTGCTTTTAATCCCGCCGCTGTCGCGCAGACATTTCGAGGAAACATTGCTTGCATCGCTCCTACCATTTTCGCACATCCCTGCAGTGCCACAGGCCCAAAAGGCCCTCTGTTGTTGGTCCAACGCCATCCTACGTTCTTGGTTGACGGATGTGCCTTTTGCGTGCACTTTGCACTTTTTGAACATGAGCTATTCCTGCTAGCCTTTTTGTATTTTTCGCATACAGTATTGCTTTGCTTTACCGACGATCGAACGTACAGAATAGAAGCTCTCGAGGCCGGAGCTTGTTTCTCCAGGGAGCTCGCGATGTCCCCTTGTGCGGTGCAATCGCAGTCGCGAGACTCCTTAGAACTTGCGTCTCTGGCGAGCTCGAGCATGATAGATGGCGGTGTAGTATCAGAAGTGTCCTCCAGACCAAGCGTTTCGTCATCACGGAGGCTGTCATTGGTGCAAGAAGAGGATCCCCTCGACGATAGCAACCCGGCCGGAAGGTTAGGACGGTCATATTCGGTATCTTCGACGTTTGATTTCGCCGCGAACCTGTTCCCTTTGAGCTCAACTACTGGGGTGGGAGGGTATGCGCCGATTGGAGCACCGACTTCTGGCGCGCGATCGGGCGGTGCGCTGGGAGGAGGATCGTTGGAGAAGCACAAGACGCTGACTTACCTGAACGGGCTGTCGCTTATCATTGGCTTAATCATTGGATCGGGAATATTTTCGTCACCAAGCCAAATCAGCTCCAAGGTCGGCTCACCTGGGGCGGCTATAGTAGTGTGGATGGTTGCCGGAATCCTGGCTTGGACTGGCGCGGCGTCATATGCTGAACTAGGAGGCGCAATACCTCTGAATGGCGGGTCGCAGGTTTATCTCTCCAAGACGTATGGTGAGCTCGCTGGATTCTTGTTCACTTGGACGGCCGTGTTGGTGTTGAAGCCTGGAAGCGCTGCCATCATTGCTATCATCATGGGGGAGTACTTCGCGCGAGCCATCATCGGGGCCGACGCAGAAGATGTAAACCCGTGGGTGAGCAAGTCGGTGGCATTGTTGGGAATTTTCACAGTTACGTGTTTCAACTGCATTTCTACGCGGATGGGTACGCGCATTAACGACATGCTTATGATTTTAAAGTTTGTGGCATTGCTATTCGTTACAGTGGTGGGTATCGTGGTTGCTGTGAAGGGATATACGTTCAACGGAGAGAAGGATAATGCCTGGAAGCCACAGGACTGGTTCAAGGATACTTCATTCGACCTGTCAGACTGGGCTATTGCATTGTATGGCGGCCTGTGGGCATACGACGGGTGGGACAACGTGAGTTTTTTTCTTCATTTCGCCGTGCTGGTGGCTTCTTATCTACTAACCATCTTGCAGACGAACTATGTCGTTGGGGAGTTTCGAAATCCTAGCAGGGATCTTCCGCGGGTTATTCACTCAGGCATGCCGCTGGTTATTGTGAGCTACGTGCTTGCCAATGTAGCATACTTTCTCGTATTACCCGTCGAGCAGGTCAACGGTTCTAATACCGTGGCGGTCATGTTCGGCTCCAAGGTATTTGGCCCTATCGGCGCCGTCATCATTGCTCTGATGGTCAGCGCAAGTTGCCTTGGTGCTCTCAACTCTTCCACCTTTACGGCAGGCCGACTAGTCTACGTTGCCGGCAAGGAGGGCTACATCCCAAGCATATTTGGCAAAATTGGTGTGCACAGCCAGGACCACAGCCTGACGACTCAACGAACCCGAAATTGGTTCTCCAAGAAGATCCACGGCTTCGTTGGAGACGACGAAATGGGCCTCTTCTTCACGCCCATATACGCTTTAATCCTTAACGGCTTCATCACCGCTGGCTACTGCGTCATCGGCGAATTTCCCACGCTCCTTACCTTTTACGGCGTTGCTGGATACACGTTCTACTTTTGCACTGTCCTTGGTCTCATCATCCTCCGCGTCAGAGAACCCCAACTTGAGCGCCCATACAAGACATGGATCACAACCCCGATCATATTCTGCTGCGTCAGCCTCTTCCTTCTCAGCAGAGCTGTCTTTGCGCGACCAGTCCAAACCGTCGCCGTAGTAGGCTTCGTTGTGGCAGGAATCCCTGTGTACTTTTGGCGTATCCGGGGTAGGGACAAGCTTCGGAAACCAGGCGACGATGGGGGACATCAGCCATGGTGGCGTTTTTGGAAACATTGAAAACTGAACAAGCATCAGCCGGCGCAGTGTTTTTCTGAATACATTTCATTGGGGATGGATGCGTACAATTCGAAGCAGAACTACGAATCTTGTCTTTTTTTGCCCCCCTCAGGATGGAAGAGCCTTTTTTTAATTTTATTTTGGCTAACAATAAGAGGTACATTTATGACCCCAGCACAGGATAGGCTGGTAATGATGAGACGGCGGGTTGGCTTATGCAGTTGATGTATCGTGAAACGGTACATACGCAGGTAAAACAATACATAATGCATGAAGATGGATTTAAACGCCCATATGCACTGTTCAGACCAGCTTGCATATGCGATCGTGGTGGTAATTGGCGGGTGGGTTGCGGTGGGCGGCTACGAATCGGCCCCCGGCTGGCCGTTTGGCAAGGCCGTTGCGTTGGGCGGAGTTTTTCAACTTTTCGCCTGGGCACATATGCGTCTTTGAAGGCGCTGGTGTCTGGCATTACTTAAACGGCTTGTCGTGCGCCATTTCGTGTCGATCGGCTCGTGACGATGGTTGTGGACGTCGCGCTATGTAAGGAACCTTGGCATATATGTGTATCGCCGTGCCCTTTTGTATACCGCTGAGCTATCCAGACTTTGTGTGTGTTTTTTCTTTTTTGCATAGAAGGAAGCTATGAATGGCCTGCCTGTTCTCTTCCTACTCGCGGGTCGAGCTGTCGCGGCAGACGATGACTTGTCCGACTTCACGAACAATGTGGCGCAGGATCTCGGGCCGTTGCTGGCGCTGTTTGGCGAAGCCGTGACGAAGCAGTATCTTAGCGAGAGCACCACCTTCCTCGACTACTTCACGTTTGCCATGAACCCGCTGGGCATCATCACGGCCGTGGTGTCGGTCATCCGGGTCTGCGGGCACCCGTCCCTCCGGGCCTTCATCGGGAGGTCGCAGGAGGGCGAGGCGGCCGTCGAGGCGGAGCTGTGCGCCTCGACGAGCCGCGACGTGTGCGAGCTGTTCCACAGGGGCGGCATTGCCCGCGTCCTGGGGAGGCAGCCCGATGTCCTGGAGTTGGTGGCCATATCGTCGCCCGGCGGCCGGAGAACTTCCAGGAGCACATCCGCGACGCGGACGAGACCGCGTACTGGAGGCGCAGTCGGGGGTCCGTCTTCAGCCCCGACGACAAGTCTGGCCGCTACCAGATGTCGCCGACGCCCAACCTGTCGCTCAACATTGGCATCAAGAGGCCCAAGCCGTGGGTGTTTCGCTGGCCGCGCTCAACGGGCTTGTGCTGCAGGCCGGCATCATCCATCCCGGCCGGGTTCGGGGCGTGGCGGCTCGGCTGGAACAAGTACCATCCTGACAACGCCACGGCCCGCGACTACGTGCCGAGGATGTTCATCGCCGGCAGCCTGCTCCTGTACTGGGGATGGGGGGGTGTGCCGCGCTCATCGGCCAGGCCACGCAGGAGGTGAGGCTCAGGCGCAACAAGCAGGCCTCTGGGCAAAAGACGCGGCTCATCTGGCTCCAGCCCGGGCTGCAGCTCGTTGGGAAGCAGAGCTTCGACCCGAGCTCCTTCTTTGAAAGCGAGAAGCAGCCGCTTGAGTACT